TCAAGGATCAATCTGCATGGATATTATTTCTAATCTTAATATGCATTTCTCTTCTCTTTATAGATGCATGGCCTCGAAAGCGAACTTGAACGTAGAACGATAACCTATACCCTATGGAATCAGTCTACTACAAAAATGGAGAATAAAGGCTGGCATCCTGTTACTTTCGGCTATTCAAATGCCGGCCCTCAAAGGATAATGGAAATAAAGGTTTTCTTCTGATGCTTCATACTCGACTTAAGCATAGATTTAGGCCATTTATGGGGTAGGAAAATGAGAAGGTTCAATCTTTTAGGGGCTATTGATACAAAGGAGGAGGATTCAGTTAGTGAAATCTTAATGTCTTCTGTTGTCCTGGCACTAACTGTGGATGGGAACTTAGATGGTCGAAAGCAGGACTCTCTTGAAATTAGTCTTGGTAATGGTTAATTATGGTGCAATTCATATTAAGTCAATAGACAAACTGCCACCTTTCATGACAAGACTGAAGTGCCTGATTTCTTAGGTTGAAAACCAATAATGATTTTGTTTAAGGACCTGAATAACCTAATCAACGTACCCAGGTGTTAGAGGCTATTTGTTTCGCGATGGTATGGGCCCATGTGCAAGGAGTTATTTATGGATTCAAACCCATAATGAACTAATCACCAAGGCACAACTTTACCGTTGTGTCATGGCTCACCCTCTATTGGAAGGCTTGAATAAAGTTCAAATGAAAACTATCTTCGTCTATTTTGCTACTTTTTGGCTACTAATCACAACTCCTCTATTTTGTTTTGTGCTCGAAGATAAATTTTGTCGTTTGTTTTTGCTTAGGTGATTATTACATGTTTCTTTAGTTACAAATTAGTGCATGTTTTTTATGCCACTATTTTCTTCGCCTGATATCCTTTCTTTAAACAGGGTATCAATCATGTTTATTATGAGACTGAGTACAGGATAGAATGGTGTCGTAGCAATTCCACGTCCGTTCCATGTTTTTTGTTTGCAAGGAAATTCTCTCAGGGAGCTGCTATGCGCTTGCTGAGCCAGGAAGTTGTTAACCACTTTGAAGTTTCTGCACTGTTAGCCACTCCTCCTTGACTTAGCCTAAACTGATTATTGACTGACTTACGAAGATAGATACTCCATGTAAAGAAATTTTGATGAGATTTCTATACAGCATACACCACACAGACAGATTTTGAAGACAAATGTCGCTACGGTTAATTAATGGAGAAGGTAAAGTAGCTGCGGATTATGAGCTCTGATGGGACCATTTTATCATGTTAGTGAGAGGTCTTATATACATTATACCATAATTATAAAATGATAATCATACGAAGTAATATGTTATTGTAATATAAAAAGAATAATTTTTCAGTTACATCTGGAAAATTTATTTTGGATAGTTGGAGTTCCATGGCAGATTGAGAATAAGGCTCTCTGCCTAACCTCTGCTTATCCTCAAATAGGAAAGGCCTTGCTGGTGACGTGTTTGCCAAACCAGATTAAATCTTTTTTCATCCTCGATTTCTGTTATCTTTCTTGGAAATCATATTTCTGAAAAAATGTCAAATATATTTGATGTTTTAAAATGTTTTGAAGAATTTTCAAACATAATTATAAAAAAACCTCTTTTTTCTTCTTGAGAAATTTCACTTTCTCATCCCCTGTCATGGGTAACTTTTAGAAGGAATTTTGATTGAAAAACGATTTTTGTAAAACTTAATGGAATAATTCTGCCAGACAATTCCATTCTCATGTTGTATGGGTCTCAACTTGTAAGCTTTT